GCAGATAACGTTTGTTTCTAACCATTTCGCAACTATAACAAAACGTTAAATGGTGGTTGACACAACGTTTGTGGCAAACGTTTGTCAAGAACCTATATATAACTTTATTTATAACGTTTGATGAACGTTCTTAGAAGGTTTAATTCAAACCAAACCAAAATAAAACCAGAACATAACGTTAGGAAAACGTTATGTGTTAGCTGGGTAGTACGACATTAACGTTGCAAGTCTAGTAGAGTGAGAGTGGATATTAGAGGTTCTGTTGAAGTAGTTATGAAAAATAGCAGGTAGTTCATTGTTAGTAAATCTGTACAGTTGATAGATTTCAGAAAGTTTTAATATACCAAGTTTGAAAAAATTGGGCGTAGCATGATCTCTAGGCCCTGCAAAAGTCATGTAGTTCATTATTTTGTGATGTATCTTGTTTAATTATTGGGTGTAATAATGATTTGGTTGCTGCTCCCCAGCTTAGTATGGCATAAAGTAGATACGGGTAAACTATAAGGAGAAGTAAATCATTTTAAGTACGTTGATATTGACGTAATGTCGTAACTTGAGATAATTCCAGCTGATTTAGCGATTTTTGTACTTAAGTATTTAAAAAGATAGTCCCACTTTAATGGTGGTCAAAGTAGACGTCTAAGTATTTTATGTTAGTAGAACTCTGCAGCTTGCAGTAACCAACCCTTACCGAGAAACCATCATGATTTCTTTTCTTTTTGTCAATAAGCATATATTTGGTTTTCTCATAATTCAGAGAGAGTTTGTTAGCACGTAACAAAGGTTACTTACTTTTCAAGGTCTCTTAAGTTATGAATAGTCATAAATAGGTTAGTGTCATCCGCAAACAGACGGGTATTGAAATTAGAAGCTAAAGGTAAGTCATTAACATAAATTAAAAAAAGGAGAGGACCCAATGTTGAGCCCTGGGGGACACCACATTTCATGCGAAATAGATCTGAGAAAGACTCATTAATGGTAACATATTGTTTGCGATTAGAGGGGTAACTACTCATAAGGTTATGAGCTAATCCTCTTACACCGTAGTGCTCAAGTTTTTGATTAATAGGATATTATGTTGAACTGTATCGAATGCTTTTGATACAAAATTCCAAAGATTCAAGGAAAATTCCACACGATATTTGGCCTTCATCCATTGATGTTAGAAGCGTGTCATGAAGTTCTGAAATTGCTAGTGCGGTGGAGTGATTCTTTCTAAATCCGAATTGAATGGGTAAGAGTATGTTACACCGATTTAGGAATTTATAGAGTCTATATTAATGTTTTCAAATATTTTGGCAAATGGTGATAGAAGTGATATTGGACGGTAATTTGAGGGCGTATTAGGACAATTAGCTTTGTAGATTGGTATTATTTTTGCATTTTTTAGTAAGTTAAGAAATTTACCAGATCTTAGGCAGTCATTATAGATATCACAGAGAATAGGAAATTTCTGTAGTTTAGCGAGCTTTATGAATTTTATTGGAATATCTTCAGGTCCTGATGCTTTCTGTATATCGAAATTGTTTATTATATCTAGGATTTCTTGGCATGAAATAGGCTTTAGAAAAAGACTTTTATCATTTGAGACTGGTAGGTAGTTCGTGAAGTCTTCTAGGATTTGGGGTATTTTGTCTGCTATTTTAGGACCTATATTTTGGTAAAGGGAATTGAACACGTTTACATATTTCTTTCATATCTGTTATTGGGAGGTTGGCTGCATGTGCTTGTGTATTTTAATTTGTTATCCTGACAATGTTGTTGATAGTTTCCCACACTTTTTTATTCGAGTATTGTTTATATAGATTCCTTTGCAGTGAGGTGCCGTGTATGTGATGGGTCAGAAACATTTTTTTCCTCGCTTGGACAGAGATTAATAGGCCGTTTGAGATCCATGGTTTCCTATGGAGCTTTTCTTTACGTGATAGAACACTATATGGGGCATGTATGTTTATAGATATATGAAATAAATCTAACAGACTAACAATTAGTGAGATATCAGGATCAACATCATGGAGGGCAAGATTAGAAATGTTGGTATTTAGGTTATGCAAGAATTTATCAGGGTCAAAATTTATTTTTTCGGATCATTACTTTTTTATGGGTTAGTCTCAGGTCGACAGACTTTATTAGTAGAAATATTGGGAGGTGATCAGATATATCTTGTATTATAATTCCAGGTATCATTTAGTTGTGTTGATTATTTGTATAGAAATTGTCAATTAGTGTATGGCTAGAGCAAGTTACACGAGTTGGCTTAGTAATCATGAGAAGTCACTCGTTGGAGTAAATCATTGTTAGAAAGTTATTCGTGGCTTTATTCGAATCATGTTTAAGTAGGTCAATATTTATGTCTCTACAGATGTAGTACGACGTTCTCATTGCGTTGAGTAAGATTAGAGTGTCTTCTAGTCGCCGTTCGAAGGGATCGATATCGTGATTACGGTGCCTGTATATAACTCCAATGATGTAGGGCTTGTTAGGATTTTTGGTGAAAATTTCAATCCATAGGTTTTCTCATCTGGCCAATTTCATTTCCATCTCGGGTTTTATAGCAAATTTTAACCGTTTGTTGACATATAGGCCATCACCACCGGCATTCACCAATAGCTGTCTCTGAAACAAAGCTAAACTCATTCAGATGAGCAGATACAAAGGTATAATTAATTAGGAAGGTTTATAATAGTTGGACTCAGTGAGTTTAGCTTTGTTTCAGAGACAGCTATTAGATCTGGTAGTGTTGGTAGCGATATTAGTAAGTCTTCTAGTTTGTGGAGATTCTTCAGCAAGCTACGAGCCTTAATGTGAATAATTATAAGATTATTTTTATGTTTGGAATTTAGGAGATTATTGAGCTTTTCTGATTTATAGTAGACGCTAGTTCCTTGTAATAAATATTGGTCTGGGTCATGCTCATCATCTTTTGTGGCACAAAGAGCAGGGGAAAGATTTACTGAGGGTAGTTGAAAAAATTTCAGAAGCGACGCGTGGTCGTTATATAGGTCAAGCAGATCATCGTTATCAAATTTTTGAAAGGGGATTATGTTGTCAATTCACGCATTGCAGTAAAATCTTTCATCAGAATTTGAGAGTGTGATAACGTCTATCCTTGTTAGCTGAGTGCATTTTAGGTGACACCAGTTAAGACATATGTCACATAGTAGGCGGTCCTGATTGTTTTTGGATGGTTTGGTACATTTAACACATGAATATTCGGCCATTAGTGGGAGTGGGGGTTGGTATGATATCTGTCGTGTCGCTTGTTTAGACGGTAGCTTGTTGGGTGGTGTAGCCTAGTTTTGTTAAATCTTGTATATATTTTATGTTAAGGGTTTCTGATTCATCGGACTTTTTTAGATATATCTGCCCGTGTCTAGTCCATGCATATTTATATTTAAGTATTCTTTCTGACTGTCTGGCATGATAGTAGAGGACAGGATTTGTTTTAGTGAGGCTCTCGTTGATGAACAAAGGGCTGTTCGAACTGAAGCAAAGATCTTTGGCTGTACCCGCATTCTTCCTGGCAGCAAAAAACTTATCTCTATCATTCGGCATACAAATTTTACAATAATGGCAGGGTTAGCTCTTGACCGGGGTTTAGAGAGTCAGTGGGATACGCTGATATCATCAGTCGTTACGTTGACCCTCATATGCTCCGCTACTCTGGCAACCAGATTGTTTGTAGATTCATGTTCAGTTTGAGGTACACCAGAGATTTCGGTGGTGTCCCTGCGGCCGTACTGTTTTAAGTCGTTAATCGTAGCATTGCTTGCATTAAGGTTGCGTTCTAGTGTATTTACCGTTGATTTTAGGATTTCTGTTTTCTTCCTCAATTACTTTCATTCTGTTAAGGGCTCTTTCTAGGTGTAGCTTTATTTCCTCGTATTGAGAGGAGAGGAACTCTTGGCTGATTTTAATCTCGTTTAGTTCTTTATGTAAAGGGGCTGTTTCATTCTCTATAAAACGTCTCACCTGTGCCTCAACACGTTCAATGGACGTCTTTAGTCGTTGCTCCATGCCTAAGAGGTGTCTCTCGTCGTCTTCATTCTCCGGAGGCCGAGTCCTTCTAACGTTTGGAGCGAGACATCGCCTGGCCAGGTGGATGATAGAGCTTAGTACGCTGAGTAGATGTAGAAATAGATGCAGTCCTCGTAGATAGTAGTAATAGAGTCTGAGTAGATGATCGGTTTATTGAACTGGTGAGTGATGAGTGGCGTCGACAGTCCGGGGCAATGCCAACGGTGTTATGGTGAGATATGTCACTTCCGGTTGGTTACTTCAGTCTTTACCTGACTTCCGGCTGATTTTTATTTAAATAGATAGCGGACTGGGGCTTTTTTTTATCGCAGCCTCAGGTATGTGTGATAAAAAAAACACTGATTAGTACTCAGTAGCAGTACAGGTGACGATTGCTCTGGATTTCTTGGGTTCCGGAAGTGCCGATAGAGAAGTAGAAAATTGGGTAAATATGGCGGGAAACTCAAGTGTATAACAGGTATGAATTTTTGGATCGCAGGTGCAGGATCTCAGGCTTGTTAGGTGCACAATCAGATGTGGGTAAGATGTGCTAATATTCTTTTTGGAGCTGTTGAGTTGGAAGCTGTAGGGGTGAGGAGAAGATTTGTGAGTTATAGGATGATTGTTTGGAGAGAAGACGAAGCAAATTAAGTTCAGACTGCCATCTTGTGATCGATTTACTTACTGACAAGCTTGACACGATTTGAAGTTTTTCATCGTTGTACGGGTATATATTCCTGTTTATGGCTCATTACGTTTTGTTTTACGATGCCATCGTATGTAAACACGGGTTACGAGCAATGCTTTCTGCCCACCAGAAACTGCGCATGCTCCAAAATGACGTAGTTTGTTTACCAACTTGAACGCCCCTATAGCTGCGGGCGGACATGTGGGAACTTTGCCACATCCGGAACTTTCTTAACCTAGCAACCAGCTGTGCCGGTGAAAACAATTAACAGCCTATCTCCGTGAGCTTACACAGGCAATACCTGATTTCCAAACCAAAAGCATATTAATTCCCTTGAATATATGCCGAAAAATTGTGTAGTAGTAGGTTGTCACAATGTAACATGTGTTTTACACATGTTCATTGCATTAGTAATTGTAGATAGATTTAGTTGTACATAGAAGCAGGGTTCGGCGTTTAGCATAGAGATGAGAAATAGCTAGGTTGGGACTAGTGGACACGTTACACATCTACGGGTCAGATGTGGTTTTCGCGCGCAATCATTTGAATAGCAGAGTGTTAGTGTGTGTGATTGGCTAGGGTAGAGTAGAGCTGGACAGTGATTGGATAAGAGAGTGATATGTAAGACTTTAGAGGCATTTTAAGGGGAGGTTGGAACTGACGGTTGGACGGGGAGAGACTGGACGACGCGACTTTTGACTGTTTGTTTGTAAACAATATATTTCTTTAGTGAACACAAAATTATACTTCTTTTTGATTAGTTTTACTATAAATTATAACATACAAACTACGTTCCTACATTTGGTGCCGTGACCAGGGATTAAAATGTTAGCAGGAACGGGGATTAAAAGGGTTAAGAATGAACATGTTTTGATTCTGAATGATGGTTGTTTTAGTAAATTGGGGGTAAGATTTGGTTGGATAAGGAGTTTGAAGTGTGGGTATTACATAAGATTGCGGTTTTGATATATGTGTGCACGCATATATTAAAGGCATGGTTATAGTGATATCGGTTAGGAGAGAGATACTGTTCGGTGGTTTTTTTTTATAATTGTTGCAGTTGCGGGGCATCCAGAGAGGAGAGTACATCGGACGAATCTTCCGCTACACAGAGTTGGTCAAATATTTCGGCAGGACATCGAGGCGGCAGTCAGTATACCAGTTTGGCAAGGAGCGAAAAACTACCGTCATCACTTCAGTAACGTCAACACTTTAACGACGCAATACTTTAGCGAGAATTCAGCAGAGTCGTCGACCTTCAAATTTCTGAGAACAATATTTGTTAACACAAACACTAAGGTGTTAGCAGATTGGCAGTGCTGGTGAACTTTTGGCATAAACCATTGGACATTATCGAAGAAATTAAAATGCCACAGCACATTTTGACAATTGCGTCCTGAAATCAATTATTGCATCGGCATCAGAAGAAACAGCGCATAGATCAACATTAAGGCCAGGGAGGACATCGTAACATCGTCGAGGATCAAGACTATTATATTATATTGTATTGTATGTATTTTATTGTGTGGTTGTTTTTGTATTTCAGGTATGCAGTATGTATTATGGTATATTATTGGGTTTTGGGGGTTGTATTTCAGGTTATGCATTGTTGGTATGTAATGAGTTGTTGTGTTGCATTGGGGTTGGTGTAGTTTGTGTATTGTTTTTTTCTTTTCAGCTTTTTGTTTCAGGGTTTTAAGGAATTGTTGCACAGATGGTTTACTTGGCAATTCGTGTCAAGTATGGTTTTATATCAGTGTGGTCAGTGAGGTTTTTGTTGGTGGCAGTGTTTAGCCATAGCGTTGGGATACCATGGTACTGGCTTTGGTAGCATAGGTAATAGGTTGTGTAAAACTTGTGAATAGTTATTATGTGGGGAGGGGGGATGTGCTCAATGAAGGAGTTATTGTAGACAGTATGATGGACAAAGGAAGAAATTTATTTGATGTTGGGCTCTATTTCGTCAGGAACAGATGTGTGTGTGTGTGTGTGTGTGTGTGTGTGTGTGTGTGTGTGTGTGAGTGTGTGTGAGTGTGTGTG